AGCTCACGGCCTAAAATTGTACATCTGAACCTCAGGAAAAAGCATTGTCAGAGCAGGTAAAATTTTTGTGTAGTGACAACAATTGGACTTGTAAGACTTTGATGGTAAAATGCTACAAAACTTCCCACTTAGTTGGGAACCAACTGCCTGTAAGAGACACACTGGTATTACACATTATTGATACCAGTAATTTCAGTCCCTGAATCTTAAAACCGGAAGTTTTTTGTCTTTATATATTTATCTCTCTTTATTTTGATTGCAGTAACAGAAAAAAAATTTATTATTTTTTTTTTAATATATAAAGAACAAACAATACTCAAAGCATTTACTTTCAACTTTCCTCAAGGAGAAAACTAGGGATCTGTAACAGCCAGCCATTTGCTGAATAGCCCTTTGCAGCATTGCAATATCCAAGCTTGCCCCACTTCACGTCCATAAACAAGAGGTAAAATCAGATCAAACCCAACAGTTTCAAGGTATCACTTACACTGTGATGAAACATTAAATGTACCAAAGTTGATTTTGCAAACTAAACTTTTACAACTTTGAATGGAAACAAGGTTGTCTTCTTGGGTTTAAGTGTGTTCTCCCATACGGATTTGTGTTTTACAAAGTTTCAGTGAGATGTTCATAAATAAAAGCACTTACATTTACCTGAATGCCCCTGCAAGATTTTATTATTCTGCAAATCAATGGAACAAATTTTCCCCTAAATGCATTATTTGAGTAAATTTTGTGTGTAAAATATTCTTGAGTCCCAATTCCCATCCAATGAGATTTTCATTAAGCAGTGATGAGGCAGAGAGCAAATCTTGAGATAAATTTTGAGACAGAGATAAAATTTTGAGTCCAAAAAATACCCCATGAAGGGCACTCTTGGTGTCTCTGCATGTCTTGAGGAAGCAGTAAAGGCATTCTGGAAAGTGAATGTGTGTGAAGAGCCAGATCTAGAGGAATATAGAAAACTACCTTATTTTTTTTTTTCTTTTACATTTAAAAAAAAAAACCACAAAAACCCAACCAACCAACCAATCAAAACCCAACCCAAAACAAAAACAACCTCCCTAAACAAACAAACAAACAAAACCCCCCAAAACCCCCCAACAAAATCCAGAAGAATAAACCAAGTATCAAATGCTCAAGTTTCAATTCCACCCAACTATCAAAATTTGTTGCTTGATTTTTGAGCAGATTATTTAACAACTATACCTCAAGAATTGCTACCTAAAGGGCTGAATGTAATACAGCTGATCATCCAACTTCATTTGGTTCCTTCCTGGAATAAAAGAAAAATCCCAAACAGAAGAGCCGATTTCCAACAAAAACTGTTTGCCTTTTATTCATGTTTTTTTTTTTAAAAATATCCACCCTGGCATTCTCTGTCATTCCCTCTGCTCCTTGCCCTCTACAAATTCTTTTAGCATAAATTTGTATTTTGTAATCATTAGCCCTTTACAAAGCAGCCAATACATTCAACTAGAGGTGAGGTTATAACTTTCAAATGGGGTAGGAAATTACAGCAGCATCATTAGGCTAATGAGTTTTGGCTAAAGACTTCTTCCTTCTCAAGCAGAACCTCAAGATGAAGCATTTTTGTTTGTACCTGGAGATTCACAGTTATAGAACAGTGTTGTTCCAGACATTGAACACGTGACACTTCGCCAGGTAACAGCAGCACTGTGAGACAAAACAAGGTGGGTCTGAGGTTGCTGACTTGATGTCAATTCTGGTCTCCTTCAAACATCAACTTAAAAGTTGGAATTATATTTATAAACTGAGAATTGCTTAAAAGCAGAGCCTCACAACACCCCAAGTACGTTCCAAGATGAGCCTATAGCGGAAACATTTTCTTGCCTCAAAGCAAGTTCCAGCTGATTTGAAAACTGCTCATTAAACTCACCCTTCAGTGAACTGTCCCAGCTCTACAATGGATGCACCAAGTGCTTTTTTTTTGTAGTTCCTTAATTGGAGATATCCTGGCCTTTCGGAGAGATACATTCTCTGACCTGCAAAATTTGTGTAAGGATCCCAAACTGGATCACTCACCTGGGAAATGAAGGATTTCCCCCTTAAATCTATTTTTCAGTGTCCAACGGGATGGATTTAGGAGGACTGTTTAGCCTTCCCCATCTCCTTTAAACTTTGGCTGAGGTTGTTTCAGAACTTTCTTTCATAACTGCTCTATTCTCTTCTCAACCACATCACTGTAAGAGGAAGGGGGGTGAGGACAGGAGAAAGCAGCTGAATTCAAAGGCAGCAGGTTTTGGGCCATGCTGTAGGACAGAACAACTGGCTGTAAACTCCCCAGTTTTAAATCCCAAACAGGTTCCCAAGAGCTGTTGCTTGTGGCAGCTCTGGGCTTCCAGACTGTCTTACACAGACGAGCCTCTGTAGCCCAGCAGAGTTTTGCCCTGTCAGAAACAGAACTCAAGGTTAGCACCAAAACTGGCATGAAATATGCTACTTCATTTTGGATGTCGTGCCTTCAAATCATAAGAGAACAGAGATTAAAAATCCTGAGCTCCGTCCATATCACCCATCACACTCCCCCCTCAGGACAGACACTGCCCCGGGGGCTCTACCCTAAAGCAAGTTTGAAATACCTTCCATTAATACTTTGAGGTCTCACACGGACATGTTGGTTCTATCACCCAATCCCTAATTTGTCTTCTTATGGAAGCTCTTCTGATCCTGCCAACAGAAAACTGATAATGTAGCAAAAAAGAACTGGAATGGGCCCCCCTCCAAAGCCTGATGTGGCAATTCCTACCCCTTACACAGCAGCTCCTTCCTCTGCCTGATCTCTGCCATTTTAGTTGCAAGAATGATACAATTCCAAAGTCATATCAAATACCAAGAAACTACAGATAGAAACACTACACTTCACTATTAATAATTCACATAAAATTCACAGCCTAAAAAACATTAGTTTGCATAACAGAACAACAGAATTGAGAGAATTCCCAAATTTACTCTGTCCTAAGCTTGTCTTTCTCCAAACTTGAGCAGTAGTATATTAAAAGAATAAATTAGCCAACTCATTTAATAAAACAACTGGGTAAATTGAAGAGATACATTCATATTTTAATTTTGAATTTGCTTACATTTGTCTACCAGTAGCCCAGCCTTAGAAAGCATGTTGTTACATAAAATCCCCTAATGTCATAATCTTCTCCCTCAAAAACTTATCATTCTCTCTGTTTGGGACAATATTTAAAGGTTTTATTTTGTCCTGTCAATAAAGATTTTTGAGGCAGACTTCCTAAGTGAAAAAAAAAGGAAAATCTGTAAATTCTAGTTTTGTTTTGTTGTTTTTTTTTAAAAAATTATATATTACATATTTGGTCAGTTCTCCATGTTGCAGAGGTATCAATGAGCATTTGCTATTGTTACCCTAGGGAACTCCCTATTTTTTCCACACAACCAGGCTAAGGTTATAGGATACAGAAGTCAGAAAAAAACCCCCACCTTATTATCTTTTTGTTTTATGCAGTGAGGGATTAGTTTGCCTCCCCACCTCCTCCCAGGTAACACTTGTGCTTTAAACTCTGCACCCATTTTGCTCAGCTCAGTACACTGAAAGCAGACAGGAAAAAAAGCAGTTTGAACTTTTAATAAGACAAGAATCAGGGTTGAAAACAATTAATTGCAAAGCCAGTGCTCGTGGCTGAAATTTTAGCAATCTCTGCACTACAGTAAAATACTCTGAAGCAATTTACCCACAACTGACACCATCCACTCCCAGGATTGAAACCAACTGGTTATGACCAAGATTAAAACTGGTTCTCTCTTGGAATTTTGTCTTGTCAGTCAGAAGAGAGATATTTCAGTGTAAGGTTTTCATCAGCAGAGCTTCAGAAATCCCCTTTGTAGCTTATTTTGTTTACAAAGAAGCTTTGAAGTTTGTCAGAGAACAGCAAGATTTTTTTCCCAATGGATGAGTTTTCAGAGATACCAAGCTGAGGAAGAAGGGTACACTCTTGGGTTTGGACTGCAAACAGATGTTTGCTTGTAAATATTTTTCCTGTTACAGAAACTCAACATGTATTTTAGGGATGAGGACCTGCTACTGTGTGAGATTTCCACTGATGGTAATCTATGGTCCTGATCCTTATCACAGTTAGTAGGAATTTTATCATTTACTTCCATGGAAGAGGTCTCATGAGTGCCAGCATTGTCAGGAACACACACAGCATATTACATACAGTTGGGGAAAGAAGAGAACTTACTCTCTTCCTGAGTAATTTATGGAATTTTATAACTTATAAGAACTTTATCACTCTTTTAGACATTTGTATAGCACCAATAACCAACAGTATTGTCACTAAGGCACTGGACTGGCACTCAGTCACGGGCTCTGCCTCCAGATCTGGAGTCAATCTCCTGTGTTTGTCTTTTGTTTTTACTGGTACATAATTTTTGACATTGGAAAATAGGATAAATAATACAAAACATCCTACACCATCGACAGGAATACCGTGCCACGACGGATGACAAGGTGCTCAGACTCTGAAGTGATGAACATTAACATTTCTGTGCATAGATTTACTGGTAAAACAAAACCATCCTGCAGATCTCAATTCCTTGCAGCACAGTGAAGCAGAGAGCTTCCCTTTCTTTGGAGTTAAGGACATACCCTCAGTTCAATCCTATCCTCAATGCCACAATTCAAAATAGTTTTTAGACAAATGAAGATAAGCCCTCAGGGCTCCTGTCTGACAGCTGATCCAGGATGCCTTCCTCTGCTTTTGCATCAAAGTCTGCTCCTAACAACTTACACAGCTCCACTTTCAGCCTTTAAGAGAGCAGTTTTTGATGCTTTCAGAGGCAGCTGAATCCTTTTTTAGTCTGTAGTGGCTTTGCCTCTCCACATTACTAAAAAAGAAAAAAACCTTCAGGAGTTATCACTACTCTCCTGCATCACACTGAATGTACATTCTGATGGAAAAAATTACTAAAAGTTCTTGGGTTGAAAGAAGTTACTGCAAATGCACAGTAGCTGATTTTGAAACCACAACATCTCTACAATTTATTATTATTTTTACAAAATACCCAAAGTGATCAGACCATATTGTAGGTTACTGGCTTGCCGAAGGTTGTTTTAAAATCAAAACCATTTCTGAGTTACAGAAGTGCCAAAAACAATCTTGAACCAGGTTTGTTTGCTGGGTTTTTTTGTTGTTTTCTTTTTAAACCAACCCCCATCCAACAAAACAGTTGTATAACTTAAAACAGAAACAAGAGCTTGTGTTGGAAACTGTTTAAAAACCAACCCACCAAATCATGCTTGAGCAGAAGCCTTGTATGGCAAAGATTCAGCTTAGGGCAATTTAGTGCCAAGGTAGAGACCCTCCATAGGTTTACAATGGAAATACTGACACAACCTCAACTATAGTGATGCAAATGTGCCCTAAAAACACTGTATTTGCTTTTATTAATAAAAGTGGTAGTGTTTACATTTGCAGGTATCTTACACTTCAGCATCACGATGAATACTGAGTAGAATGAGTTAAGTTTTGGCTGTAAGGTCAGAAGTTTCCAAACAGATGAATGAGACAGAAGTGACAGTCCTCAATCATGAAAACAAGAAGTTCAAATAAATAAATAAAACAAAACTAGGAAATATGGGTAAGCATTAGGTTGGAATGGTTCAATTAACTGCAAATTATGGCCACTAAATTAAAGACAGAAGAAAACACAGTTACTTATTAAATAGCAAGCATTAAAGCTTTATGGTTTTGTATTCAAAAAAAAAAAAAAAAGAAAAAAAGAAAAAGAAAGCTGTTAAAAATAAGACTTGCATTTACCAGGCCACCAAACTGCATGGACTAATAAAGAGACTAACAAAGGCAATACTGAGACATTAAGACACACACACACTCTGTACTTGTGCAACTCAACCATATTCAAAACAATTGCCTTTTTCCTCACTTAAGAAAAAAAAAAAAAAAGCATCCCCTAAACATTTCTGTTCATATAAAGCTTTAGGTTTCTTAAACTGTTGCTGTCTTATATAGCTCACTGTTATTATGTATCCTCATTATCAGAGAAAGAAGCTTATTTTATTTTTTTAATGGAGGTGCTTTGTTTCTCTCAGACAAGAGATTACATTCCTCACACCACTACAGGTTTTCTCCATTTATGAATTTGGTGTTCACACCAACTTCTCCTAGGCTTAAAAACATAAGGGTTGGCACTGAAATAAAGATTTTGGCTCCTGTAACTAAAATTAAGGCTCACAATGAGTTTCCTTTCCACTACATGTGTCCCGTTTTTCCCTAGTGGAAACGCCAGCCCTTAACCTACAGGCACTGGATACATTCTGAATTGGAAGGGCCTATTTTCAGTCATGTTCTCCTACAGTTCTACAAAGTTCAGGTGGCAACTGTCTAAACCTGTGAACAGGAAAGATCATTCTGAAAAGGCAAGTAACAACCACAGCTCTAATTTTTAGACAATTCGGTGTCTTCTGGAAGATCACAAGTAATTTCGAGTTGAGATGGGACAGTAACTCCATCATGTCCCTGCTCCCTAACGAAGATGGACAAGGTGATTAATTTTAATTTAAGACTTTAGCCACAAAAGCAAATGAAAACTCACAATTCTGAACGGTTGCAGTTCTCAGTATTGAAAAGGCATCCGAGACCTGAAGCAAATCTAGCTGCACATCACTGACCACACCCTCATTTTAATTTAAACTGGATCTCTTCCCAAAAAAAGAAAGCTAACACGGTCTCTTGGGTGGAGGGAAGCTAGTGTGAAAGGCAAAGAGGCAAGTATTTTGGTGTTTGTTTTTTGTTTCTTTTCTCTTCCTTTTAAAGTCACTGCAGTAAGATCCAGATCGGTTTAGGGGTGTAAATGAAAAGGGAAGAGGGGTGTTTGAGTAATATAGGCTAACACTGTTCTAGATGTGTTATTACAGCTGTAATTTCTGACTCTGTACAAATTGTACACGTAGGTTTAGACACATGAAAAAGTAACACACTCACAGAGACATAAAACACCTAGGTATAAAATATAAAGCAGTGTAGTAGTTACTAAAATTACATGCTCTCTTATTGCTACAGTGATTTTTGCTCTTTTTTCTTTTTTACTGTACCACATGTTGTTCTAAGCATATAATTTGCATAAATTATTCAAGTTTAAGAAAAAATCCACACATCTTCACTTTAAGCTACTTATATAGTTAATATAAAACCAAAAAAAAAAAAAAAAAAGGTTCTAAAGTATCTCTTTATTAAAAGAGAAATAAAAATGTCGTTTGAAACTGGGATTCAGTGGCCAAATCCAAGGGCAGTGCACACCTTGTCATTCTGGGAGTCGTTGCCCACGCAGCGCAAGCCGAGGTTGGTGGGTATTTGGCCCAGTCTAGAGATGGTCACCAGACCTACACGATGCCCTACGTGTCTTGTTATTGTTCTGGTTTTTGTCTTTTACCAAAAAAAAAAAAGGACTATGAATGACCAAAGACTAACATTTATAATTTGTAGCAAAATTTGGTTTATGTAGAAACAAGCCATGTTTTGCATTTGGATAGAGATTTAAATGAATTAAAGCTAAAAATTAAAAAGCACGATGCTGCAACATCTGGTCACTTGTTGAAGACCTCACTTTTAAAGTGGTTAAGTTTGCACAATTTGTACTTTTTTCTTTTTTTTTTTCTTTTTTTTCCTTTTTTTTTTTTTTACTAAACAGTATTTTTCCTTCTTTTATAAACCAGAAAAACTAAACTACAGATAAATTTTCCCTACCTTGAGCTAATGCTGCAGATAGGGTTGACAAAGCTGTACAGCGCAATCAAACATACTTACATCTTAGCTCATTGTACAGGTACAGCCATAATCAAGGCACAAAGATCTTCTACAAGTTATTTTCAATAAAGTTGTACAAAATAATACATTTTACAGTCTGTACAAGAATAATAATCCAGCAGTAAAATAAAAAATGAGGGGAGGGAAGAAGAAAAAGAAGGGAAAGACTGTGAGGACTACAGTCCAGATAATGATTTTTAGAGCAGACGGGATCATCAGTGGACAAACTGAAAACAGTGTGTGGTTAAACTCTCTCTGCAATCACAGGCCATAACGCAGTTCGATTCATGAACGTCCATGGTTGTCTTAAGACCACCAAGACTGGTTTTAAAAATACCCTTCTGAAAGGTAGCAGTTGGTTTTTGCACTGTCTAGGTCTGTTGGAGAATTGTCAGTATTTCCGCCCAAAGCCACATTTACAGTCAGAGAACCAAACTCAAGGGTCTGTCTTCAAACTTGGTCTGTGACTTGGCACCTTCGTTACTCGGATGCAGTGAGTGATACAAAGTGGAGATCACGGGTTATAGGATTATGCCCACAACAGTGCTAAATTACCTAAGGTTTTTCTCTCCCCCAATTTTTGTTTTATCTTTTAATTTTTTTTTTTCATTCCCAATTCTTTCAGGTGCTCCACATTCAGGGCTTTTAATTAATTAGTTTTTATTTCTTTTTTTTTTTTTTTCCTTTTTTTGTTAATAACAGTGTTAGGGAATCCTCATGGAAATGGCCTTTTTTAAGTGTTAGGGGCCATCTCAAACTGTCCGAGGGGTACAGAAGCAAGCTTAGAAGTGCTGCTATTGTCCAGCAAGGAGAAAAAGTTGAGGGGTGCAAATCAATGGGAGATTCAAACAGTTCTCTTCCACCCTATGTGGGCAAGGGTGTTTTTTTTTCTTTTTTTTTTGTTTTAATAAGGAATAAGGAGTCCAAAACACAGAAAAAAGTGCTCTCCATCACAACAACTCGTATTGGCGAAGGTGCATGCGCTGAATAATGTCCCGACAGTCATTGAAAACCCTCCGGATGTTCTCTGTGTCCACGGCACACGTGAAGTGAGGGTAGCAGTAGTGCCTTCCATCTCCACTTGCTGTGCTGATTCTCTGTGGAAAGTAAGGGAGAGATTTCAAATAAACGGGTTAAAATAAAACTGACTGGGCAACTCCCCCCACCACGTTCTCAAAACGCGGCCGAGCGGAGGCGAAGACGCCTCTGTGGGAGTTGTGTCCTCACAGGGTGGGACTAAGTGGTGAAACACCCACAACTTTTCACCCTCGCACCTAAACCATGAAATTTAAAATGAGTGAAATTACACAGTGAGAAGGTCACTGCAAACTGGGGAATTCCAGAGTGCAACGAGAGCTCAAAAAAGTGCCATTATTTTTACGCAGCTCTGGTGAATTTGGCAACAAAACTCCTAGTCCATTCAGCCATGAGGAAAGTAGGATTTTGCCTCCCTATACAAGGCAATTTTATCTCTGCTTTACCCTCACAGAAAACCTCTCTCAATATTTTATTTTGCTCCATTTTAAAATGAGTCCACAATTTGATTGCCAGGCTCACCATTATAAGTGATTGTAACAATATTTAAAAAAAACCCCATAATGTCTATTATAGCTTCAGCTAGCTAGTAAAGGGAAAGATAATATGAAAAGAACATTAATATTTGACAGATGATGCATCTTTTGATTAGTCTCTATCTTTGGAAATAATGCATGGAAGAAAAATCTGGCCCCATTAAAAAGAGCAGGATTTCATTCTTGATTCTATTTGAGGTTTCTTAATTCTCACCCATTCTTTTGCTATTTAATTAGGTACTGTGTCAACAAGCAAATATCCAAATAGCAGCTGAGAAACAGCAGTAAAGCTCTTCAACATAACTGTTTTATGCAGTGTGGATGTTAAATATAAACAACACAAGAAGTGACAGCATTTTGCAACAGCAGAAAGTGCACAAGAGTTTAGGTTTGAGGAGAATCAGGTAAGAAATATCAAAAGAAAGGAAATACTTACAAGAAACTCGTCTCTAATAAAATACTTGGCCCTTGTAACTCTGGGATCCTCACCAGGCTCTGGTGTTGCTGATTAACAATAAAATAAGTATCTTATTAAAACAGATGTTTTCTGGTAATAGCACCGAAAAATATTAAACTTGTTCTGTTTTCTGCTCATGTCTGATAGAAATATACTTGGCAAAACTGACTGTGAGATAAGACAAACCACAACATTGTTTAAAACAGCAAGATTTCAGGAGAACAAAGGAATATTACAGTACTAGTCATTTGGCAGGTAAGAGAAATGACCACAGGTAGAATTAGGGGGAATCCAAAGGACACATCAGTGCCAAAATGTCAGACTGTGGTCAACACCAAAGTCACATCTGTCAAGATGAAATTATTAATATATTAAATGTGTAGAAGGTAGGATTCTCTTGTTATTAGTACCTAAAAGTTAACATTAAAGTTTGGCTGAAAGACAATGAACTTTACATCTACTTAAGAGTTTTCAAGTCTTAGCTGAAACTACCAGAAACATTACACAACGTGATTAACAAAGAAATGATAAATTGTAAATAAAACTTAAAAATCTTACCATCATCTGGTGTAGTGTAGCGAGCAAATTCTGGAAAGTAGTCTTCAATTTTAGATTTCCCTGCCAAAACTTTCTCTGCTAGCAAATCTTGTTTATTCAGGAAAAGGATTACTGAAATGGTCCGTAGCCACCTGTGGAAAATGGGAACACTTGAGAAGGCACAGCCTGGATCAGACAGAAACTGAACCCAGGGCTGGAGACAAGAATGCAGCACACTGAGATAACTTTAAAAGGTTACTTTTAAACCTGAATCCTGAGGGTGTAATTCCAGGGGTGCATCCCCTGAGGTTGGTTTGTGCTGCTGATCCAAACCCATCACCCAGGGGAGCACATCCACTGCTCAGGGCACTGCTCTGTCACTGCTTTAATTACTTCAGCCATAAGGAATGACTGTTTAACAAGTGAAAGGTAAGTGGAAGAGAGGAGAAAACAAAACAAGTGATGCAAAGGCAATCACTCCCTTCCTCCTGTGGGCAGACCAATCCCAGCAAGCTGGCTAACCTCCCCAAATCCCCTCTTTTGCCTCTTACTGACACAGTATGGATCATCCCTACAGTCAGTTTGGGTCTGCCCACTTGTGTCCCCTCCCAAACTACTGCACACCCCCCCAATGGATTCACTGCAGGGGCAGAATGAGGAACAGGGAAAGTCTTGATGTTCTGCAAACACTGCTCAGCAACAGCTACAAGATCAGTATGTTATCAGCACTGTTTGGGTAAAATCTAAACCACGGCACCCTATGAACTGTTACGGAGAAAACGAACCCTGTCCCAGCCAGGCCCAGACACAAGTTGTGACTGTAGTGCAGGGCAGGATCAGCAATTTAAGTGATATGAGCAACAAAAACTTCAATTCACAGACCTGTTGTTCCAGATACTCTTGAAGAGGTTTAGTGCTTCTTGGAGCCGATTGGTCTGATTGTCCTCTCGTATAACCATGTTGTAGCTACTGCTCGCCACCACAAATATGATAGCAGTCACATCTAAACCAAGAAATATCCTTGGTTAATACCAAACTTCAGGAGAAACATCCAGGAATCCCAAAGTTCTATAAGAAGCTGCCAGACTTCCAGCTCCATGTGGAGGACAGGCTGGGATGCTGCTGCTGGCAGCTTTCTAAGTACCACAAATCAAAAAAGAAAGTGAAGAGACCATGAAAGGCAGGCAAGGCAGGTCCCAGAACAGAAGCTGAAAGAATGACAGAAAATGCAGAAAAGGAAGGAACTGAAGAGCAAGAGAGACAAACTGAAGAAATCCAAGAGGAGAATTTCAAGAAGATTTAAAATGCGTAAAGAAAATCAGGAACAACTCGGAGCTTTCAGGAAAGGACAGGGAGGCCCTTGGGGGAAGACCTCAGGACAAACAGCACTGGTGATCTGTGTGAACAGTAATAATGACAGTTGAATTCATGGGTAATTGCTCCAGTCCCCTGTAGTGTGCTATACTTGGAGATCCCTCTCTTTCCTGGGAGGTATTCCCAGGATCACAGAATCCCATCTCTGTGTTTCTGTGTGGCTGTGCTGCTCCAGACTCTTCACAGTGACTGACTTCCAGGCTCATCTACCTCAGGCATCAGCAGCAGAAGAGATGAGTCAGACCATGAGGTAACAGGAAGAGGAAGGAGCAGAGGTAAAACCCAAACAAATCTGTTATTAATAGCACAGGAGAAAATAGTGCACAGTAGTTCCACACATACACACAGTGTTCAGGTGATACTCTGATAGTAACTGCAGCAATATACCATGAATTCCAAGTTGCATTCTACTTTATTTGTTCCGTAAGATCTCAATGTAACTTTTCTACAAAAAGATGGATAATTTCATCAATATTTTGTCCAAACAACGAAGGAGAAAAAAAATCCACCACCTCTAGCTTCCAGGAAACATGTGGAGAAAGGTTTCACATCTAAACAGAGATACAGAGTAAAAAACAGCTGCAGTGAAGCCTGTCACACTTCAGGCCAGACACAAAACTACCTAATTTCAACTGTGTGGGAGTTCAAAACACTGTCACCTGAACTAAACTGATGGGGACACTGGTGTTGGGAGACTCCAGATCTTACCATATGTGACACCAGGTCTAACCAGACAGATCTCTACAGTCTCACTCTGCATTACTAGGTCAGTGCTGATTTGGAAAGAAGCACCATGACATAGCCATGTGGCTGCAATTATATGCCAAAATGTGATATTCTGATTTTATGCATATAATAATGATCCTGTAGTTCTGTATTTTGCACAGGTACATACATATGTAAACCTTCATATGGAAGACAGAATATAGTTGGAATTTATACTCACATAGCTGGCAAATAATGCACTAAGCCACCACCAAAAAAACCTAATTAAATGAAGAGAGGGAAGCCAAAGAAAACGGACAAGCTTAAGTTATCAAACTTTAACTCCTCTCCCTCTCCCTGAAGATGTTCTATGCAGTTACAGAAGTGCACGTGTCAAAAAAAATTCCAACCCATACAACTGTTGAGGTAACTCCTTATCAAGCTACATTGAAAAGATGGTGGCTTTCCCAGAGTGAGAAAATGCAGACTGGGCATTAAAACCCTGCAGAGAACTGTTTTATAAAGCAAACAGAAATTCTGATCCTACCATTGAAACACTGGATCCATTTCCGGCGTTCATCTCGTTGCCCTCCAACATCAAACATACTGGGGAAAAAAGCATAAATCCAGTCAGGATACATTTTGTGTTGGGATTTTTTGTTTGTTTGTTTGTGTCTTTATTTTTGTTTTCTCTCCCTGAACTCAAGTAGAAAAGGTAAGAAATTTTAGGACTTCTGTGTCATAGAAGCTAAAAGGAATCAAGGATGACGAGAACCTGAACAGGTAAACAGTCCACCCACGTATGCACACAGAGGTAGTGGATTTAAACCCTTTTGTTCTTTGCAATTTAAAATAAAAGCAGAAAATTGCACACCAATTTGCCTTTCCTTTTCAAGCCAGACTACTAAATCAAAAAATCAAAACATACTCGCTTTCTACTAAATATCAACTTCAGAAACACTGAAGAAACATTGAGAGAAGTCTCAATGACTCTGTAGGCTCTCCTCCAATTTACCCTGGTATTTGTCTGCGTTGTATTAACAAAATAAAAAACCCCAAAAATAGAAAGAAAAAATAAGGATACTTACTGAAAATTTACTTTATCCACCTGAAACTTGGTTTCAAAAATTCCTGATGTCAAAACTCTGCATCTGAGAAGATCCTACAGCATAAAAGGAAAGTCACTGATTCAACACAGGTACTTTGTAATTTTTTAATGGAAATAAACCCCTTTTATTCCATGCTGATAGTGGATGCTGTACTGCAAAACCAGGGACAGCATTTGAGTGTGACACAGAATGTGATGTAAGTCTTGTAAGTCAGATTTCACAGGCATTTCTGTGTATAAACATAATCCAAACAACAAAGTAATTTTTACTGGAACACTAAGTATACACAGTGCATGGCAACACCTGTGTCAGTGCCACAAATGGAAATTATAAAATGAGACAGTTGTCCCCAAAGCCGGGGGGGGCAGATAAATGGTGTAATTTCTTAACGTACCTGGTCAGACGGGGTGTACTCATTCTGTTTGACTATGTCAATCTTGTCTAGAAAACTGGGGAGAGGAAAGAAAAGGAGAAATTGTCATTCTCAAATTAGACAAACTACCCAATGCTTTAGTGACAGACAGTTGTCAAGTAAGTTTCAGTGTATTTTAATGCTCTCAGACTCCCAAAATGCTAAAAAATCATACACTGAAATTGCTCAATTTGGGTCACTGGTCGTGCTTTCCCAGCACAAGCCAGCAGAGGGCCGAGTCCAGTTTAATTAATCCATCTGGGAATCTCACTCCAGCCCCTCCCGCCGGCTCCCTCCACCACAAACATACCAGGAGTTTAATTTAGGTCATTTATTCATATAAATCCTACACTATAACCTGCTACTGCTAACGGTAAGGCAATGACTCAGGTAAATTGCCTACGTGTAGTTTTCCTGAAAGAAAAACAACTATTTTTAAACAACTTATCATCACTATAATTCTTTAAATAAATGAAATCCCGAAACCAATTTCAGCACAAGTTCAGTTAAGTGCGAGGGAATACTGATTTTTCTGTCAATTCTGTATCAGTGTTTCAGTTTATTGTCTGAAGCAGCAGCAGTAGTAGGCTAAATGGGTATTCAGAGAGATATTTCATTCAAATTCATTAGGTATTACGTGAAGAGGATACCCTGGAGTCTTTTAAATTTTTTTACCAATTAACTATAACCTCCTAATTATCTTTCACTTCAACTCAAAGAGCAAAAATCTCAAGGAAGCAACTTGTTAACTCTGTTTTATTGTGGTGTTATTACAAGACTCGAAGATGTGGCAAAGCAGCAGCTTGGGATGTAGATTTTACAGTGTCTGCCCCCCAGTCCCACTGTCCAACACCAGGCACTGGGCAGGGATACAAAGTGCTCAGCCACCTTCCACCTCAGCAATGCCTTTACCCATCACATTAATGATTAATCAGTCTTTAAACCAATATACCTCAAGTTCCCTTTGAAATTCCTTTGCAGGAATCGTTTTCTCTCTGAAGCAGAAATCACAAAGGAAATGTGAATTTTCCCTTCTCTCAATGCGCATTAACTACAGTTACAGGCAACAATTCCAAGGGGGAAAAGGGAGCCACGTCCCAGATTCATGAATCAAAAACCCAACCCCCAGTAACACCAGCACAGGTCTCAGCCCCCAGTTCCAGCCCCCTCTGCCCAACTGATTTCCTAAAACACCTAAGGAGGAGCAGGGGAAGGGGGGAAAATAATTGTATATTTTAACAACAGCTTCAGTGTAATGTCCTTTTCACCAGGAACTAGATGATCTCGTTTCAGAGACACATGAAAAGTAATTTTTCTTTACTCTGAATTACAGAATTTTAAACACATCAAAACATATCTTAATAAACACTCTACAAAAACCACGAGACGAAGTGCAAAGATCCATTTCCATCATGCAACGTGACACGGGGACAGACACACAAGGATAAAACGATGACAAACTGTGCTCTGCAATTTGCAAGCGGGATTTTTTCCTCATCTATTCCAGGCTGTTAAGTAATTTAATTTTTTTTTTTTTTTTAATCCAAAGGGAAGAAATAAAACTCTTTGTTCAGTACACAGAGGATGTTAAATACAACAACCATGAGCTCCAACCAGCACGTGTTTCCACCCCATACTCTCCCCTAAGAGCACAGTTTCAGAATCACGTGGCAACTTCACAAGTTGGAGGATGCTTGAAAAATGTTCTGAACAGAACATGTTCATCAGGATATACAAAGGTGATTACTGCAATGAGCCAGCCTTTCTGAATGAATTTATCCAAGCATAACATTTTCTGCTGGGTTCTACAAGAGGTGAATTTTTGGGTTTGTTTTGGGTTTGTTTTTTTTTTTTTTGTTTTATTTTTAAACACTCTGCTAATCAGCTTAATGGATTTTGGAAACTGAAAATTAGAAAATAACAACAAGATATTGCTAAAACCTGGAACTGAAAGTACAAACCTCTTACTGTTGTTTATGCAGACTATTTTTAGGCCTATGATTTCCTTGAAAAACATCAGCCACATAGGAGCAGCAGTACTGTACTTGAGATGAATTCCAACAGCAATGTTCATGCCAGGTAAAACAAGTTCGGATGGAATAAACATTTCTTCTTCCCCCCAAAACAAGTTCCAACATTCAGTAACATCTGATACTCGTAACAATACTCGTTGGAGAAGGAAGTCTTTCACTGTGTGATAGTTACCAGAAAACCCACCCTGCTTCCAGTGGCATTTTAGGGAAAATGGAGCAAAGCGATATGTTAAATAAAGATTTCCTCCTCTCCGTGTGCCTGCTCATAAAAGTCCGTCCTTTAGAAGGGGCTAAAGACATTAAAAACCAGTTTGATTTTTTGCTCAGATGTAAAGAAAGGGGATTATTCTTTCAGCTGGTCAGTGGAAAAATAAATGTATCTATAAGGAGAAAAGAGGAACAGAAATTTGATCCAGTCTGATACACCTAAAATAAGGAGCAACAGCGGGAGTTCAGAAAAGATCAATACACTGTGTTCAGAGACTTCTCAGTCAATGTGAGTCAAGACCAAACAATTTATCCAGTAAATTAAACTAATAATCCAGTCAGATGAGAACAAAGCCTAATTCAAAATAAACACAAATTCACCATCATTAATTTCTATTTTTAATTCTTGCTATGCTCTACCCAAAACACAAGTGAGGCCACTTGAGTACTACTTTGTGTGCAGAACTCACTGCTGTGAGAGATTGTTCTAAGCCTGCTGGAGAAGTGCCCACCATCTACTGTGTCAGCAGTGAACTTACAGGGAGAAAGAGAAGTGACCTTGGTGAAATAATTCAAATAAAACTGTCAAACCACGAAACCAAATTTTATACTGCGAGCAAGTCTTGCACCGAGTTACAGAGTCAGTTTTTTGCCTCTGTAAAATTTTCCCAGAGATTATACGGAAAAGCTATTTTCCAGAAAGCAAATAATTCATTCAGCATCGCTGCCAATTCTCACTTAGGGCCAGATTCTGGACATGACTAAATAACAGGATCAGCTACTGCTCTGCAAAATACTGTCACGTAGTATGAGGCACTTTTGCCTGTGTTATAAAACATCAATCCTACTATGACACATGCTAACAAAAAAAAAAAAATAAAAAGAAGACTTTAAGTTATTTGTAGTCAGCAACAGTGAGAAGCAGCATCTCTGGGATAAGCAGTAAATGTGTGTCTGAGATAGTAAAATGAAAGGTGTTAATAAAAAATTAAAACTATCTGAAATAAAAAACGTGCTTTGAGTCGCTTTACTTTAGCTTAGGGAAGGAAAAACACACCTGAAAGTTTTTAAACAGATCTTTGGGACAAATAAAGTGTCTTTAATTTTAAGGGTCTACTGAGGAGACAGATTCAAAGAGAGAGATACACAGAAGCTTTCCTTGGCTCCTGCAGGTCAAAATAATTAAGTCATACATGTATCCCCATTTCTTTCCAAATTTTTACAAAGCTTATTATGTCAAAACCACGTTCCAATTTCACATCAAGATATACGCTAGTACCTGATTTATTCTGGAGTTTTTTCATACAGAGAGAGTCGCTTTATCCCTGTGTGGGGGGAATTTCCTGAATGGACAGTGCTGCTGCCAGACAAAGAGCTGCAGCCTGCGCTTGTTTTCCCTCCTGGAAAGGTGTGTAACACACGGAACCTTCCACCTCAGAACCAGCACAACTCCACCGTTCGGGGAAGCCCGGGAGGGGGAACTCACACTGCCTTTCCTCGAGCATTTCCTGACAGCCTTTTCAATAAACAGTAACTGAAATCTTACGCCCTGTGATCTGACGAAACGGCTGGCAGACAAGGATTATTTTTTTTTTTTTTGCTTTGTGAAGAAGAGCTTTTGTTTTCAGTCTAGAACAACACTGGAAAGGTCTCTTCAAACTGACAACACACCTATATTTGAAGAGCTTTATTTCCATCAGGTTTTTTTTTCTGGTCGAGTCATAACTTGAATTTGTATACAAAATGTCTCTGATAAAAGACACACTAAGATCTCATCTTCTGTGTCAATAAGACAAATCGAGAAATCAAAATTTCAACCCCAACTAAAGACAGCATTCGTTCATAAACCTCAACAGTAGTACTAGATCTCTGAATTTGTGAAGTTTCTTGCCTCTGAAAGCCCCCAGGTATTTCACAGACAGTAAATCACGCTCCCAACTCCTGCCTGCCTTCATTCAGGCTGCATTTCCTGCCTCCACCATCGCACCCAAAACGCACACCTTGCAATAACCCTGCTTTAAAGGCAGGCACTCAGGGAGCGACTTAATTGCCCAGAGTCCCTTGAGTCAGTGGAAATTTTCATTTCCACTGAGTCATGTGTTTCTACCAAGATATTACTAAGAAACCACCAGAATATTACTAAGAATTATCAAGATTTCACTAAGAATTACAGTTGCATTTACCCTGATTGCCTCTAAAAAACAGTCTTTCCAATTCAAGTTTCTATGTCCAGAAAGAAACTAATATTTGTTTACTGATCTCCCTAAAGACCAAACTGTGCCAATGCCTGAGAGATTTTTATTTATTTATCTATACCTTATCACGACTACAAAACTAACACAACTCTCCCTAAAGTAGTTTTAAGGTGAAATTTAACTGAACATTATAAACATGAGTGTACTTTTTATTTTTCAGAACAGATCACGCTTTACTTCTACTTTATTTCCTTTTTAGTCCTTGCCATAATCCTTTATGTTATTCAGCAACAGCTTTTAAAAAGCTCAGAAGTTAACTATTTGATAAATTCTGTCTTCAGCTATGCTGTTAGTATTTATGGTATCCTGCAAACATGGACTATGTGAAACCAAACTTGTCAGGTTTTTCTTCAAAATAAGTTAAAAACTAAAACTGGCACATCATTAGTTTTTTGTTTGTTTCTTTTTTAAAGATATACTGATATTTTCTGTTATTTGGCCACTGAAGACGTGCCACAAACACGTTACTGGGCAATTAAAATTGTTCAGAAAGGCACAGCTCTTTTATTCTTTTCTAAACAAAACTAGATGGAGAAAATAAA